ATATAAGGCTGAAATGGTTTGTATTACAATTTAAAAAGACAAATACAAAAAGATTAAATGGAAAAAAACATCAATATCAATATTCAAAAATCTATAAAAATATGATGACGATTACAATAGCAACAATATATAATAAACATAACAATATATAGGCCTATTATATTTATAAGGGTTAAATGGTATTATGAAATACATATTATAAAAAAATGTGAGAAATTTTCTATTTTAGCAAACCAATTAACATGAACCGAAATATGACAGTTTCGATGCCAGTAAAGTTCAATTCAAATTAATTGTTTTGTTAAAATAGAAAATTTCTCACATCGTGTCCACATACCAGATGAATATTTTCAAATACAGTATATAAAAAAGATGTAGACCTTATTAAGTAAAACATGTGTTATGAATACACAGGATGTACAATATGCTACGCATTATTTAATAAACCTATTGGTTTGTCTTTTAAATTAGGCCTACAAGTGAATACGTTAGATTTTCGAATATCAGACTGGTGGTTAGTGCAGTTTTAATTATTAAGTCAATTGTTGGACAGACTGGGCTTGTATTCCTCCATGGACAGATCTGCCAGGTGATAGGTATACTCAATCAATCAATAATGCATCCTTCAGTCAAAAATGACTATGGAATAGACATAAGAGGATCACCACACACAAAAAAAATAAATAAATAATATTTAAAAAATATATTTAAACACTACTACAAAAGCAAAAGTACATTGAATTTAAAATTAAAATTGATTTCAATAGGTAGGAGGAAACTCCCCAAATATGATTATAATACGAGAATGGACTTTGGGTCCAGATGGAGAATCAATGTTTGAATGAGAAACGTTTCTACAGGTATCCAGCTAAGGTCCTACAGCGGAAACAATTTGTTTACCTAGATGCTCAGAATAAAAATATGATTTAATTATGATAATGATGGTAGTGGTGATGATGATGAAAGAATGGATAATGACAGTGATGGTGACGATGATAATTATGATGATGACGCCGACGACGGTGGTGGTAATAACATGGCCTGAGTGATAGAAATACTAATGCAGACTGGAGTGGAATGAATCCAAGCTGGAAGAAAGAGCCCGGTCAGGATCCCGGTCAGGGTGCAAAGAAGCCAGGGAAAAAAACCAACGGTTTTGATTAGATACGGTATAGACTAAGTTGAGTGGTTTTATATTTAGTCTTATAATATAAAACCGAAGGGATTAGTGAGGTCTTTTCTTAGTCAGGGACCCACGGTTCTAATTTTCTTATCCAATCAAAGTTATTTTGATGCCAAACCCTAATATTGCGGTCTAAAATTCAAATTTTAACACCACCAGAGAATGTTCCCCCGGCCCCTACGCCACGGGGTCCGGTTCACTGAATGTGAAGTATTATATAAAGATAAATATTATCAATCCAAAGTTTTAGATATGCATTGCCTTATTAGATTGTTTATAAGGGTGTGGGCCCCTAAAGCTAATTAAGGGCTCTTCAGAGATTGGGATTCCTAAGACTGCGGCAGTTACGCCACTGTAAATCAATAAACACAGAAGCGTTTGGCGCAGAGGTTGCTCGGACTCCAAACCTTGAAGTCAGGGGTTCGAAACTCTCGCTGTGCAAGTCGCTTGTGTCCTTGGGCAAGGCATTGTATCTTCGTTTGTCTTCTCTACCCTGGAGTATAAATGGATATATTTGTAGGATGTTATGGCATTACTAGTGTCGTGCGCTAAGCAAGCAACGCACGACTATGTGTACTCCCCAGGGAGCAGAGAAGGTTTGACTTTGTGCTGGTTTTCCATTGTATGTTATCCAGTGATCAGACTAACAACTAACCAACCAACGAGCACATAAATGAATGAATGATTATGAATAAATGAATGAAAGAACGAACAACTGACCGACCGACCAAAAAGAGAACGAACGAACGCACTCACAAACGAACGAATGAACGCACGCACGCACAGGCAGGCGAGCAGACAAACGAACGAACAAACGAATGAATGAATGAATGAACGAACGAACGAATGAACGAACGAATGAAGGAATGATTGAACTAACCAACCATCCAACCCACCATCCAACCAACTAACAATCAATTAGTTATTCACTGATAATACATTAAGCTATTACACTCACTCCAATCTATGCTTTAATAGGCATAATAAGAATAATTCTGAACTGGTATCGGAATGGTTCAATACTAATCGTATGACAAAATTCATATTATGTTTGTCAGCAAGCGTGTTTATTAGAATTACTAGGGCCAACGCTCAAACAACTTCAAGAGTTCCGTCATCAGACATTTAAAATTTGAGGCGTAACAATAGACGAAAAACCTAATTAAGGAACCCATCTGAAATGATATTTTTTTTTTTTGTTCTTTTGTTTTGTTTTTTTTGTTTTGTTTTTTTTTTTTTTTTTTTTTTTTACGTTATGTTTTAGTTTTTTGTATAATTTTAAAATTTGCTCTAAGAACAGTCAGGGTCATCAATAGGGAGCTTTCGATTCCACGATGGTAAGAAGGTCTAAAATGTAATGACGTCACGTAGAAATGTGTGCGCATGTGAGTGTGTTCAAGTATCGTGTCATAGAGTAAAATGGGAATACCTCTATGGAATTCTACCACTTTTTGCCTGAATTCTATGTCGGAGTTGGCCCGAATTTACGCTTATACAGAGATCCCAGCAAACACAAAACGTTCTTATAATGTTCGCGAACGTTGTGGTTAGGTATGTCACAAAATCACGTTCACACAACATTGTAAGAACGTTTAAACGTTGTGAGGTTGTGAAATTAGGTTATAAGTACGTACATATGGTTCTACAAGATAACGTTCTTATCACCAAATTGTAACGTAATTATAACGTTCTTAGAACGTAATATCGTTAGACAGGACGGTCACAATTGACGTTGTGCAAATCGAAAGCTTCCTAATGTCATACAATTCCAGGGGCGGGGCCATGGCCCTCCGTCGGGAAGAGCTGCCCCCCCCCCCCCCCGGTCGGGGATAAAAACGATAATTCTTCGGAGAAAAACTTTTTTTTTTACATATTAGTATACTCTAAAATCGATTAAATAAGCCTTTGAAACCCCTAAATTGTCAATTTTCCGGGGCTTCGCCTCCTGGGACGCTTTCGAGAAATTGTGAGCGACGCCCGACAACGCCCACTTTTTTTGTTGGGGACATCCCCCCCACCCCATCGGAGACGTCGGACCCCGTCGGGCAAATCCTGGTACTACTCCTGTGTCATGCCCTTTATCTTATTTGTTGCCACTTCTACAGTAGATCTAATTTAAGTTAACATAATTTGAAGTAGCTTTTTGGTGTTAGTGTTAGTTGAACAAATACGCACACGAAGCAATAATGGAGTATAGAAACTAATGGACCAATAGACGATGGGCCTGTTTCTGCTGAGCAAAAAAAAAAAAATACGTGTTTTTAAACGGTTATTAAAAAACACGTGTTTTTTTTCACCAGTAGAAACGATAGAAACAGGCCACAAAACAAAACCACAGCTAGGAATGCGTTCTAAAAATATGTGTTTTTACACGCATTCGTTATATGGTTCGCGTTCAGAAAACGCGTGTTTTGTGGTACTTTCAGCTGCAACGCAATACCGTGTTAGTCTTGACCCGTCGGTGACCCAAATTGACCTCTTCGGTGGTTTGATCGCTCGTCCGCGGGAAATTCGGGGCAAAGAAAAAAATTAAACCAATAGGATGACGTGCTTGAAGATCATACCAGGGAGTTGTACACCTTCCTGATCATACCATACTTTTTTCATACTTTTGTGGTGTGCTGTTTACTTCTTTCGCAGCATGCGCTGTAGCTCGCAAGAAGTTGGTGACCGTCATTTAAGCTCCACCCACCTTCCAATGCTCGCATTACCGTGTTTTTATTAGTTGCACTCGTGTTTTTGGCGTTATTCAGCAGAAACACGCCCTCGTGATATATATCAAGCTAGGTAAATTTCTTATCTCTCCAATATCCTATTAAACATCAATAAAGTGATAAAGTAAGCTCGGATCAAAGGTTGGCTGGAATTGCAGGCCAAATCACAACACACGATACGTTCCACAATTTTAGTAGGTACGCCCTACAGGAGGATGTCTGCCGCTCTCGACATGGGCGATTCGGACCATTACTTTTCAAAAAAATCGGGTTACGATGGGTTCCATCCAATCCTGATTTTCATCGCAGTTGGTATTCTGGCCCTAGGAACTGGGTTACTTTTTGGATTCTTAACATTCCCTGAAACTCTGCGTAGCCCAGAGTGTATCACGGATAACGAAACCCCCAGTAAGAAATGGGTTTCGGAAACACTTTTGAATTCTATAGATGCTACAAATATTGAAGAAAATTTAAAGTAAGAATCTTTTAAATGTTGTTCAAATTTATGTTCAATGAGACAATTATTATAAAATCTGTTTACAATTGCTGATGCTACTGAAGAAAATGGTAAAATCTACTTCGAATTCACGTTCTTTTTGATGTACAGTTTTCTTACGTAGCACCATCAACACATTGTAAGTAAATGGATACCAATGTATCATGTTTGAAGCTAGCATTTGTATCTCTTTGCTAACAAATAAGATAATATGACAACAAATTATTAAGTCTAAATTTACTACCATATTACATGTTATTTATTTACGATATCAAGCTATTTCACGTCCCAGCCTCATCTAGCCGGTACACCTGCAGAGAAAGAAAATGCAGAATATATTCGTAAAGCATGGATTGAACAAGGGCTGGACAGCGCCAAGCTGGTTCCTTATGATGTTTATTTGTCATACCCGGACAAAGACAACCCTAATAAGGTAGACCAATTTTCCTACCGGTACCAAATTATGTATAATGATCTATTTTATTTATTTCTGCAAAACACATCGGACATCAATATTACTGGTGCGCGATGTTGAAGTGTTTTTAGTCACATTAGGGCGCATACCTGGAAGGTGAGGGGGACAAATTTGAGGAAATAATAGGCCTACGTCTCGATGGTCGGAAATGACACTCTTATGTTATTATAAAATTTATCAATTCATTCTTTCTCTACCCATCAATATGAAAACAAACAATAACAATAAGATATGCGATGATAGAATAATAGTAATAATACGAATATTTAAAACAATCATCACGTCACCTTTATAGTCAAAATTAAGCTCCAACAACTCATGATCCTGTTAATGATTTTTATTTAACGGCATAGAAGTGCTACAGAATCGCTTTCCTTCAAATCTTTTATACAGTTCGTTTCGTAAAAGTAAAAACGTAAAAGTGCTACCAACTCCGATTTATTTTCTAGATTTTTCTAGCAGTCTTAATAATAATAATTAATAATAATAACTATTATTATTTAAAAATTCATACGATAAATTCTATAAAATACAAATCCTTTGATATAAAAGAACAATAATGAAAATATAGCATTTATTCAAAAAACATCCACTGCGGATTAAACCAGAAAGATTTAGATATTCAGTGTTACAATATATAAAACATTCTAACTTGTAGGTATCACTTTTGGAAAATGGCAAGGAGATTTTTAGCACTCGAGAGCACGAAGACATTTTAAGACCCGAAGATAATCACACTAACGTGGTACCTCCTTTCAACGCGTATTCTGCCCAGGGAACAGTTAAGGTAGGTGCACAAGTAAGTTAGTTTATCTAGAAAATAATGATTGACAACCATTTGAAAGACTATTTAGTGTTTTGCATAATAGTAGACAATTTTAACATAATGCGAAAATATTCTTTTCTTTTGAATTAATAATTGTATGCTTATGTCAAAATTTTGGCATAGTATTAAATTTGTTGATTTTCACAAGCAGACCTTCTAAGCCTTATATTAGAAGTCAGATGATTTTAATCATCCTGCACATTTCCACGATTTTATTGAGAATTTCATGTTTGTCATGATTCCAACAACTTAGACCTCAACTCCTCTTCCAATCTTCAGTAGTGATTTTCCTGCTCAAATCAACTCAACTAAACTAAATTTCGTCAACTGGCCGACTATTAAAATTAACCGAAGTACTTGCCAGTTCCATTCAGTTCTCTCAATTGCCAATGTTTAATTTTCTGACGAGCAATTGCATAAAACCTGCCATTTGACAGTGCTGTGATACCCATCGGAAGCGGGCATAAGTATGCTAGTCTGGGCATCAAGTTCTGGCTAGTTGTTTACAGTTCAGAGTATTATTAGCACTGTTGGTGGATTTGGAGTTGAGCCAAGTTCAGCAACACACTATTTTTATTATTTCATCTTTCTCATTCTAGGGTAACCTTGTATATGTTAACTATGCTACAGCCGACGATTTTGAATACTTAGAAAAAAATCGTCCTGATATCAACATCACTGGGAAAATAGTGATTGCTCGATATGGCCAGATATTCAGAGGAAGTAAGGTAAGACTTCTATATAATTATATCACATAATCATTATTTTATATAAAATACGGTATGTAAAGATGGGTAACATTAGGCTTCATGTGATTAAAATTGCAAAGTATATATATATGTTACACCATGTTCATGGACAGTTCTCTCTTATAAACAAACTAAATTTATACTAACTAAATGTAACAATAACAAGAAACTTTTTGTGATAGGTCAAGTTTGCCGAAGCAGCAGGTGCAATAGGAGTTATTCTTTACTCGGATCCCAAAGACTACGCATCGGACGATGCGATAGGTGTATACCCTAACGCTTGGTGGTTACCAGGCTCAGGTGCTCAGCGTGGAAATGTGTTTGTCAGCGACGCAAAGGGTGATCCATTAACACCTGGATTTCCGGCTAATGGTAATTTCTGCAAACTGAAATAGTGTCCTAAATATAATACTGCGAATGTGCAAGCCTATTAATATAATAATAGAAATACGGTTAATTGTACAAGAACTTTAAATCCCACACTAATTCATAGCCCTATATTTTATGTATTCAAAAAGAACTCGTTGGATGTTAAAATATTACTCTTCCACATAGTAGGGTGGGGCGTCAGAATATTAAAAAAGGTCTGACAGAATCTAACAGTTTTCAGTCAAAAGGTAGCTGGACAAATTGTGGACTGGGCGATTTTAAGTTGTTCAGATAAACATATTCATATAATTTTTATTGTTTCATATAAAATTCTAAACTTTCGTCTGTTGAAATGATACTAAATGTTTAATCAACCAATGACAGATTGTTTTTTTTTAGATAAGAAAAATTTATTCACAAAAACCTAAGTCTATTAGACCTAAGTCTAATAAAATTAATGATATTTATCTTTTCTGTATTAATATTAGATTATGCTTATCGGCTAGCAGATGAGGACACTGCTTTAACTAGAATACCAGTACATCCGATTGGTTACGACGATGCTGAAAAACTCCTAATGTTTGTAGCCAACATGATTGTCATATTTGATTTGGTCTAAATACAGGCCTTTTTTTTCCCTAAAAGTAATGTATAGCTTATCAGTCAAATATAATAATATAAAACTCTGGTTATCATTTATCATTTGTTTCATTTTTGAAAATTTCTCATCTTACTTTTCATTACTTAATTCATATTTTAAAAATGAATTACTACCAGACGGTAGATGGTTTAAAGTTTACATTTTCACAAATATTATTTATTTCAAAGTATCTCTTCAACGATCCTGTCTTTGTCGTTTCACATGCTTAATATAGGGCGTATATCACATTGATCCCTGTTTTACGCGTCTGTGCCACCCAACACGATCCTGCATGGCATTTGAATATCATTATTAACTGAGCTTTTAAAACATTTAAATTGGTGTTTCAGGGAGCTAGGTGGTGACGAAGTACCGAAGGATTGGAAAGGCAGATTAAACATCACATACAATTTTGGACAAACTTTCAAGAATCCAAACAGGTAAAGAAATGCAAATAACAAGACTTGTGCAAACACTTAATGTAGTATACTCAAAGTATTTTTTTTTTGTACTTGTATTTTTTATTAATACCACAGAACCATAAGGTTAAAGGTTTTATCTAAGAAGGAGATTCGAACAGTGTACAACGTTGTCGGCATGACCAAAGGCAGCGTCGAACCAGGTAAGTTGTTTACATTATAGTAATATATAGTAGTAACTACTACTACTACTGCTGCTGCTGCTGCTACTGCTTCTGTCTGCTGCTACTGATGATTCCTCGTTTTAATCTTTATACTGATTAATAGTATTTCTAATTATTAAGTTAAACATTATTTTTCCCTTGTTCATAAGATCGTTACGTCATTCTCGGCAACCATCGAGATGCATGGGTTTATGGAGCAGTCGATCCATCGAGTGGCACCGCAGCGTTGATGGAGGTTACAAGAGCGTTTGGGAAGTTACGTAAAACAGGAGGTGAGGTGTCCCTTGTTATCAGGAGACATTTTCGGGACCAGACGAGTACCCTGTTTCCTTTCAATAAGCATTGAACGTGTGTTATATTGGCCATTTGGCACACCCAGAAACTGTCCCCGTGCCCTTAATGGATGTGTCCCCTTCTGGTTCTAAAATATATATTTCCCCTCGTTGCAAGAAGATGTGTATCTTTAATAGTGATGTCCCTTACAGGAGTGTCTCAAATTTAACTCTTCAATGTACCATGTCATATTCACCCGTTGCATTTGTCGATGGGTTGCGCTGCTAGGTAAACGACTGACCAGCGGTTTTTCACAGCCAGTCGATAGCAAAACACATGTATATTTGGATCTTCTCCAGACACAAAACGATGAATGCGATCCCATGAATACTGTGGCGGACTTATTAACATTATTAACATGCAGAAAAAATTGTGTAACACAACCACGTGAGAGTGGTAATAGATTGTAATTTGGAATTTTAGATAATGACATGGTGTTTGGTTTGATAATTCTTGAATTAATTTTTAACGATTGGGTTAAAAATTTAATTCTTTCTTACAATTGTTTTTCTGGTTTCCAAATATTTGCGACTATTATAATATTTCAGATTGGCGACCACGAAGGACGATTTTATTTTGCAGCTGGGCTGCAGAAGAATACGGTTTACTTGGTTCCACAGAATACGTTGAGGTAATTGAAGCTATTGCAATCTGCCATATAAAAAATAAAGAAAAATATTAATGGATATAATACTAACATGTAATGGTATATATTATCTATACATATGATAAGTCATATTATATATATATACATATATATGTGTATATATACATATATATATATATATATATTATATATATAAGTTATATATATCATAAGATTATCACCATATTATATTATATCATGTCAAATATTATACCACATATGTCTTAAGTCTATGAAATAATAATCATACGTTAGTAATTATTATATTATTATCTATGTTAAAACATAGTAAAACACAAAATCACAAAATAATACAATGAATGTTATCTGAAGGGCTGAACAAGTTAAAAATGTTTAATATGAAGTAGGGGTATGTTTTAAAGATGAATTTTATTTTTTCTCCGTGTCGTTGATGATGCCATCCTGTATAGACATAAATATATTTTAAAATAGTAAGTTTAATGTCTTTGAAAACATTTGGTTTTCTCAGGACTTTCAGCGAGTGTTGGCCGAGAGAGCAGTGATTTACATCAACGTAGATTCAGCAGTGATTGGTAACTACACAATGCAAGTTAAGGCAACCCCTTCTTTAAAGAAGGCAATATTCGCTGCTTCAAAGAAGGTAATGATATTATTCATGACCGTATTTTAGTTAGGTACACAAAACCGACAAAATGATGAGCGTGTAGGCCGGTTTTCTTACAAAATATAAATGTCTCTACAACATTACATCAGTATAATCTATAATCAGGGGCGGATCCAGAGATTTTTTGACGGGTGTGGGTGGATGGGGCACAATATGAAGTTCACGCCGCCACGCTCACCTCAGCTCACCATGGTTGGTGAAAATAAGTGATAAATAATCGAGCTGTTCTTTCGCCCACTGCTGTATCGCCACTGAACTCACGGGTGCACTCCCATTTTTGCTCTTTACTCTCTTTAACTCAAATTTGTCACCCTCTTTCTTATTTTTTGGCTTGACCAAAGATCTTATAAGATCTTTGGCTTGACTGACGGGGGTGGGGCGGGCCCGCTGGATCCGCGCGCGCCTTATAATGAAATTTAAGTGATATAGGTTCTCCTTGAGAGTGTGAACAACCTTAGATTGACATATTGGGCTACAATATGACACGTTTATTCGTTTCTTTATAAAGAAATATGTATGAAATAGCCATTAATATGAAATAATATACGGCCTATATCAAAACAAAATAAATCTATTGTAATGTTAACATCCTTTTATTTCCAATTATAGGTTCCTTCTCCTGATGATGGCTTTTCGTCAACCTTCGAACTTTGGCAGAAAAGATACGCGGACAACGATGACACTACTATTCCATAGTATGTTTTGACTTAATAATTCTATGTTCAATCATTTGCACAATCAACTAAAATAAAACCTCCAACTTGTTTGTCATTCCAAATAAACCATTGAGGTACAACACATCTTACCGACAATCAATGCCGTAGCCCGGTATTGGGACAGTTGGGACAGTCCCACACAATTTTTCTAATGGGTCCACAAATAATGGGTCCACATTATAAAAATGTGTCCAAATTATGTAATTTTGTAAAGTTGGTCCACCCTGATATTGTCCAGCACTGTTTGAAAATCTTGGCTCTGCATTGCCGACAGTACTTTCTTTCTTTAGTATTGGAACATTGGGATCAGGAAGCGACTTTGCACCTTTCATGTATCGCATTGGTGTTCCTGCAACCGACCTCCGTTGGATATACGATCCTGTAGGTATATTTTGCTAGATGATGATAATAATAATAATAATAATAATAATAATAATAATAATAATAATAATAATAATAATAATAACAACAATAATGATAATAATAATATTATTATATGATTAATAATAATATGCCTAAAAATAATAATAACGAAGATGACGAAGCCGTCAACGGTGCTGACGTCGACGCCCACGATGAGACCATCGCAACAACAATGGCCACGACGACGAAGATGGGGATGACGTCAAAGACAATGATAACAGCGATGATGTGACAACAGCAAACACAGTGACGATGATAACGGACAATGATTGTGATGGTGATAATGTTGATCATGATATAAGCCTATACGACAGCTAACCAAGCATACACTGTACGCGTAACGATGACGTCATACTAGAGGTATCATTTTAAAGCTGTAGACGAATGTTTGTTCTTAACATTAAAAATATTCTTTTCACAAATAATTTTCTTCAATAAAGAATTTGAGATTGTCATCGTATCCTGTATATCATTCAGTCTACGAAACGTTTTACCTTGTCAAGACGTTCCTCGACTGGGATTTTAAACGTCATCAAGCGGTGGCGCGTGTTTGGGCAGAGGTTGCACGCGATTTTGCTGACTCTACCATCTTACCCTTTGATTGCGTAGATTATGCAAATAAGATGCATAGTTCTATTAACTCTATCAGGACTACTTACGAAGAAAACATGAATAACCACGGTATTACATTCGGTAAGATATAAACTATTCCATTTCATTTTAAAGCGAATCCATTAGGTTATTAATGTATGCGTAATTATAATTTTGATAATTACTAGTTGTTAAAAAAGAAGTCTATGTTGATGAAAGTTGTTTTTGTTTTAAGATGCCGTCATATCAGCCATAAATAATCTGACTACTATTGCCACAACGTTTCATAACAATGTCCAGAAAATGGACATTTCAAAGTAAGTAAGCCTAGGCCTATATATAAAATATAATTGTTATATTACAAAACAAAACCCTACTACACCCAGCTGTGTTTTTCCAAAGTAAGGGCTGGTTTACTCTAGAGCAATTTAAGCCCCACACTGGGCCGACGTTACTCGGACGACGCAATTCCATGGAGAACGCAACACGACGAGTGCGGCATGCAACGGCCGCTCAGTCTGACATCGACATTCAGCAGACGTCGTCTCTTCGATCGTCAAGCTCTTACAGGGAGCGGAGATGGATTTGTCGGCCGACGGTCGTACAACCGTCGTACGACGCAATGTGTGGCCCAAGCAAACACAAGTAACAGATTAGGCATTGCTTCATCTAAATCGCTCTAGTGTGAACCAAACCCAATAAGTGGACCATTCTGGAATGTCAATCAAACATAACAATTGACTAATCAAAAATGGGCCAGAAAAATACATTTCTTATTAGGCATAGCCCTATTACTGTTTTTCATTGTTTGGGAACAACGTTTAAACAAGCTCTCTGAGTTTCTTAGGTGTTTCCTTTCATCATATCTACTTCATTATTATTTTACTTGTATTTTTGTGTGTTTTTGAGAATGAACAATAATTATTTTAAAATTGAAAAATTGAAACATACATGTTGTTCCACAAACACGTCTTTACGTACGTTTGGTAGTGATACTGGTACTGGTATAGGCATTTATAGTGCGCCTCTTCCTTGAGGTTATAAGACGTAGTTTTTTACGTTGCCGAAAAATTTCCAAGGAACAGGGTAGTAGCGAAAAGCTCTGTTAACAATTGTTCTCTACCATATTTATGTTTATATGTACGAAATGGCTGCCCCATGCAGCACAATTCTGATAATTTAATAGAAAAATATATATACAATTTACAAATTTTTATAATTGATTTTTCAACATAATCTTTGTTTTAAGTTTACGGTATCATTTCCAATTGTCCTAGGAAATGTTATGGTATTTATGTCTTTATTTTATATAGTGTTCTTGCTGTACGGAGAGTCAATGACCAGCTTATGTTATTTGAGAGGGCATTCATAGATCCACTTGGTTTACCTGATCGAAAATTCCTCAAGTAAGTTTTATCTCATGCCTTAATGTCGTAGAGTAATCCTATAGGCCTACTGGTCATCTCTTTTCATTAAATATTAATATATAATTTACAAAGTCGTCCTGAAGTCCTGGACTCGAGTATTCGGTAGTTGCAAATAATGTTACGATGGTTTCACTGATAAAATAATCTCCTCGAACTTATACCGGTAATGTCTTAACAAGACTATATTGCACACTTAAAAGCAGATGTATCAATTTATTAAATATTATTTGTGTTAAGCGAATTACTTTTCGATTGAAAAAAATATCATATGTTCAAAGGTTTTCATCTGGTTTGTAAATTTGTTTGTTAATTCCAACTTTCATTTTTCCTAAACCAAGGAATACAGCAACAATCGTACGGTACTTACTTGCAAAATTTCGAATAAAAATAGCTACCATTCGGCATGCAATGAACTGCACACATCGTAAGAGTTCATTACTTGAAGAAATTAAGTGAACCAGTTGTTTATTTTTATTGAGTTAGGAAAAAAAGAACTTGAACTCATCGCAGAAAAATATTTTCTCCTCCATTGACAAATGTAAAAACTATGGTTCCTATTCCTTGTATAAATGCTTACATTGGCTGGTCCAAGTAACCAGTTTTTGCAAAAACTCGCGGCAAAATCAGCAAAAACTGAATTTGTTTGTTTTTTGTCTCTTAGACTAAGTTATTGGTCATTATAAAAGAGTTTTGTGATTTACTCCACATTTTAATACATACCGTAAGTTAGCTTTAATTTTGTTATTGTTTAATCTAAATAGGCCTAATTATTGTGCACAGACAGTTAATTCAAACCTAAGATTGTTAATGATATGTATTTCATTTTTTTAAATCATAGGCGTGCACCATCTTAAACTTTATTATTCGTTTTCGTTGCAGGCATATAGTTTTTGCTCCAAGCAGTAAAAACTACTACGCCGGTGACGCGTTCCCTGGACTTGTCGATAGTCTTTATCGCATAGATGAAGATACCAACAACCAAGACCAGCGGTGGGATGCAGTCCGAGAATACATGGCCGTAATCGCTTTTATGATCCAGTCATCTGCCAGCACTCTTACAGACGTTGAATACTATTAAGACACAAAGTGGTTTACACGTGCCTTGATATTGCTGGATGTGCCTTTTCAATGGAAAAACCAAACAAGCTTTTCATGACTTTGACAAATATTTATTCTTTAAAACTTTGCCTGACGGATCATCAATTTCTTGACTCTTCATACTTTCAGGGCTCTACTAGCCCTATTTAAAAAAAATTGTTATAAACAGTTTAGTTCAGTACACCTACAACTGTAATACGTTATAATATTGATTTGAAGCGGAGAAAGACTTCACAAGTTATGCCACTTCCGACATCCAGCTGCATTTACTAATAATCACTCCATGATGGTGCTGCAGGCGGGCAGAGTGGGTTGTGATCCCAGTATAAGAAAATCGTAATTACAAACGATCCACTTACGTACCTTCTCCTATATTAGATTATATTATATTATATTATATTATATAGGCCTATTATATTATATTATATTACCGATATATCATATTGTGTAAGTAAGTGGTCATTGGATTTGTGGTGAAATTAGTTGAGTGTATGGTGCCAATGACATCTTTATTGTTTGAATGTTGAGTTTCTCAGCTAAAAATAGTTTAAAGGAATCCTTTGCTAAATGTTGGCTGGGTGGAGCATGAATTGGGCTTTTCCCTGCAGTGAATGAACCCATGCATTTCGCGCTAAATACGGTATGCCTATTCCGTTATTCAAATATGCTGTCTTCCGATATAGCGTTTTAAAACTAATACCACAGTAATAGATACATTTATTAAGCGTGATATCTTACATAGAAAGTTCACAAGATTGATCAATATTTGGGACTTCTGGCTCGCCGAGTTTAGAAGTCTCAAGACCTTTTTAAGGCCTAAATGAAATGAAATAATATTTGAAGGTGAAGTTCTAGTTTTCTCTTGTTTAAAATAAATGAAACAATACAGTTCAGAGGGTGCGATCGCACACCCCTAATTGTGTTAAGAAAAATAATTGTTGTATTATATTGTTGATATGAATTATTGGTAAGATTTTTCTGTACATGAGAGTGCAATTTCCGGGCACCATGAGGTCCATACTCTCAAAATGTTCGCACCTCAGCACCCATGGGCGTAGATCATGGGGGAAGGGGTAAACGTTCAGGGGTGGTACCAGGATCAAATAGACCAAAATCCAAGAAACACACTCTTTCGAAGATTTATTAGAAGCCCCTCCCCCTACTACGACCCAGGATTTTACTATGGAGCTTACGGAGCCTCCTTTAGCACTGCTAATACGACGCTTTTGACAGTAGGCCTAAGGCAAATTTTCTTTTAATTTTCAAAAATGTAGTCCTATAAGTCCCTGGCCGGCTGCATCCCCACCCACCCATAATCCGCTCCTGCTATATTTATAGGGGTGGGGCTATCCCTCGGGCTCTTCTGGATCCGCCCCTGATAACCATTGCTCGAATGATTGTTTGAGAATGCTTATATTGGCACTGGGATTAATACATTCATGATTAAGCATGTAACCCGTATGCGCGCTAAGGAAATGCACGTAAGCTAATGACGATTTATGCATTATAGACCTCTTATACGCCGCATGCAAATATTCAAATTGGGAATGTGTGTGCAAAATATTACTTGATTAGGGCCTATATTGTTAAATAGTCACACAATAATTTTTTTGACATTGTCTACTTTACTGATATTCGAGGGGCCCAACATTTCTCTCCCCTGGGCTTCATAACTCGTCGTTACGCCACTGACATCGTACATATCAGAAGTCTGCATATATTTTCATTGCGCCTTGTCAACAACATATACATTTCATTTACTGCAACTTTAGGCACACACGTACACACTCCTGTCAAGGTAAACCCTGACACACACACCCCGACAACTACTAAAACACATCTAAACTGGCATTTGTACAGTTCAGCACATATTAATCAAATACTGTACAATTGCACATGTAATCCTAGCTTATACTATCTCGAGGTAAAGCTGCTCCAAAAATATGCAAACGGTAATGCTTAATTTATTAGGCATGAGTGCAGTATTTCCACCCTTTACGTATAACACCTACATTCCAAATGGTTGAGTCTTACAAGTCTGACAGTACAGTACTATCAACCTACCACATGGAGAGAGTTAAAAAAAACTTAATCTGGGTACAAAGTGTAACCAGGGAGATGTAACTACGAGTACTCAAAGTAAATAACGTGTGGACGAATAAAACCTAGGCCTACTCGTTACCAGGATGGACAAAATCGGCTTGGATGTTGATATTAATGATGGAAAGAAGAAAAGTTTTATGAGTCAGCGTTTTATTGTGTATATAGTCTGTGTGGGTACATTTTGCCTAGGTCTGGGGCTTCTTCTTGGTTATCTTACGTTTCCTGAAACGCTACGTACTCAATCGAGCTCACCAATCGAAGGGAGTGAACAAAGAGATCATGAATGGGTTTCAGAAACTCTGATGAACTATATTGATGCGGCAGAGATCGAGGAAAACCTCAGGTAGGCCGAAGTTTGATTCAAAATCAGCGTAACACCAGGCCTAATTAACTCAGGATGCAACATCAAAATAATATATATATATATATATATATATATATCAATATATATATATATTATGTGCTATATATATATATATATAAATAATTAAATACACGTTTAATGACTTAAAATCCCCATTTTAACAGAAATGTGTTGATTTTGTTTTGTGCCTCAAGCGTACGGTTAATCTTTTTATTTCATTATCCAATCGAAACTGCATGCTTGTATACACTGATACAAGGCATATATAGATAAGTTAAAATAAATGATATTGTAATTATACACAATCAATGGCATATAGATATTCACTTACGAGGTGTATAAACACACATTCATAATTGCACACAATAATAACACATTATTGTACAACCTGATCTGGTAAGTATTTTAGGAGAAAAGGTCTGTCTTTTGGTGACAAGCAGAGGCTTGGTCTTAAAAAGTATAGAGCCACCTAAAGAGACCCTAGAGATTCTATCTATTTCAACTCCGAAGGTTCTATCACCAATTCAAGTAAGTGTTGTACCAGACTGAATGTTTACTATAATACAGCAACAGTAAAATATACCGATGTACTTGAAAAATTATTGATGAAAAAACTGCACACTGTCACTTTCGAGATGTGTAAACACACATTACATAATCCTACACAATATCAACACATTTGTGTATAACCTGACTTGGTATGTATTTTAGCAAAAAGGTCTGCCTTTTGGTGACAAGCACAGGCTTGGTCATAAAAAGTATACGGCCACCTACTAAAGAGACCCTAGAGATTCTATCTATTCAACTCCGAAGGTTCTATCACCAATTAACTCAAATAAGTGTTGTACCAGAAAATTTAATGTTTACTAATATACAGCAACAATATAGTGTTGTTTTCAACAAAATACACCGATGCGCTTGAAATATAATTGATGAAAGAAATGCAAACAGTCAAGACCTTTAAAAAAATAGGATTAGAAAAAGCGGTGAAATACAACCATCTCACTACGGCTGAAATATATGTTCAAATGAGATTGTTCTGAAAATTTAAGCCAGTAGTGATAGTGACAGAGTTCCACCATACATATGGGGCCAGGTTGTTCTACAGTAGTCAGTATAGCAACTCCCTGAATTGACTAAAGTGTGGCACATAAGGCATATGGACATAACGACTTTATATCAGAAAATTTTGTCCTCGGTTATCGATGGACTACCGATATCAACAGTCGACCTTAGAGTTCGGAAAGTCTATTTGCTTAAAAGCAACATTGGAACATATCAGAGCAATTCATTACAAATGGCTTAATAAATGTAAATAAACTGAGAACCTGGCCTAGTTTAGAAAAACAAAGATATAACTATTTATTCTAGCATTACTTTTCATAAAGTACCAAAACAGGATGTTTAACTTACCATCGGGCCCAAATGGATGAGTATAATTCAACAGCAGTATGAGTTAACCATTGATGAAAAAATGTCATGATTCGTACACAAAAGGGTGGAAATGTTTCTAAAAATCTGAGTGTCTTAAATGTTTATTTAGTTTACAGTATTTTACCTCATAGCATGTACAAAATGTGGAATTAAAACTTTTAGGTGACATTTTAAAGAAGCTTGCTTTTCACAAGGCGATAAACAGAGGCCTAAACGTTTACGAGAGTGATAAAGAATTTGAACATAACAAATTATACCCTTATTAATCAAGCAAAATTGAATTTGAAAATAATAAATCATGCATGTTATACCTCCATGATTATATAACATGATATATCTAAACGTGCAAGGCCTGATTGGTGGTTATTGTATTAATAGGATACCCCGGTTTGCAGTCTTAGCCCAGGGTATCTTACTTTGTGTTTTCTGTTAAGTAAAGTGAAATTCAATATATAACTCAGTTGGTTCTTGATCGTTAACTATGTTTTTGTAGGCCCTGGGAATCCAGGCGCCCCCTGCTGATGACTTTGGCAGTACGCCGGGACATAATCGGTTTTAGTGTCTTGTCCAAAAACGATATGACAGGAAGTACATCAATATTTATTGATTTATAAGCTATGAAATACACGTACACACATAACATGACGTGAGCCACTTCACAACCCGTCAACAGTAGACAAGGGTTAACATGGCCGATCGAGAATGATCAGCGTGTGGTTCGAACCCTCGACAATGAATGGAAATCGCTCGCCAAGTCGCCTTTCCCAGATGGAATAGAACCAAGGACACAGAATTCGCTATAGTCAAGCACACAAACTATATATGCTTACCACCAGTTTTAACCAATCGGTATTCATAAACATGAGGTTTTTGCTTTACACCTTGTATTTTTTCTAAATAATTCCTCTTCTTTATTTTCAGATATTTGTCAAAACGGCCGCATGTTGGTGGAACTCAGGCCGAAAAAGAAAACGCAGAATACATAAAGGAAAAATGGATTGAACATGGATTGGACGGTGTCAAAATCAATGCATACACTCCTTATCTATCATATCCAGACATAAATAACCCCAATAAGGTAATAGGCCTAATGGAATTAAATATTTACATTGTGCAGTTCACAGTGGCGGATCGAGGTTTTGAAATATAGAAGGCCCAGGGAGGGAATTCACAGATGGAGGGTGTAGATCACCTCAGCCCTATAGTGGCTGGGGCTGAGGCAAGAACATTTATGATAATGGCACTTCTATATGGCCGAAAATGCCACACTCAAATTAAATTTGAATAAATTTTTCTTTTTTCTCCATTTTTAAAAATAATTATGAAGCCGCTGGTTGAGTATGATAGCTATACGAGTTACGACCTAAATATATTAATATTGATAATGCTATGACCGTGCAAAAACAACCCTGTTTTTATAACATTTGCGAACACTGTGAACGTTGTGGTTAGGTATTTGTTAGAAAATAGTTAACACAACGTTGCAACCAGTGCAGATTCAAGGTTGAAGCTGGCCAAAAAATGGAGAAAATAGAAATTTATATTCAAATGTGCCATTTTCGTGCATCTAGAGGTGCCATAATTATATTTTTCTTACCTCAGCCCCAACCGTCTGCAGATTCCTCCATCTGGGAATGTCCCTCCCTGGGCTCACTCTGTTTTGAATCCCTGGATTCGCCAATGGCAACGTTGGCAAATTTAGTCAGAATGATGGTTCTGAAGAAATGTTTTGAATACCAAATGTTGAGATCCTTGAATGTTTCTTAAACAAGTAGAGATGATTTTCCTGTAATGTTTCCCTATATTGAAGTCTTCTCAATTCTATTTAACCGCCATTGGGATCAGATCATCATAACAAATATAATCAATAACCTCGCAAGTCAAACAAATATACATTTATATTATCCAGGTGTTTCTTTTGGATAACGGCAATGAATTTTTCAGTTCTCGTGATTTTGAAGATGTCCTACGACCTGAAGACGATAGTTCTGACATCCTTCCGCCTTTTAATGCATACTCTGCACAAGGTACTGTAGAGGTACGTTGCCAAATTTGTCAGATCTAGTTCTGTTCCGAGAAAAAGTAAGGGAAATAGTACAAGACGATGGAGGTTATTTAAGGGATGTTGGCAAAAGCTGGCGCTGTCCTCTACGGTATTTGATCCTATGTCTTATAGAAAGTCAAACGGGCCTATTAATTACTGTCTCAACGTCTGGCCAGCTTACTAACATCGCTTGTTTTTGTTTTAGTACATTATAGAAACAATATCCTCCAAGGCATTGGAATACACTACCCAAAAAACGTAAACTTCAATAAGTTTCAGATTCTTGATTAGTGGCCCACTTTCTCCAATATTTTTCTTCAGCACCCACCACAATTTGGGATGCGGCTGATTTGAAATAAAGATCAGTAGGATCAAGTCTTGTGTTGTAAAACTAACCTCATTTTCTTATTTTCTAGGGCGAGTTAGTCTACGTAAACTTTGGTCGTGAACAGGATTTTATTTACTTGGCAGAGAATAAACCAGAAATAAATATAGCGGGGAAAATTGTGATTGCTAAGTTCGCAAAGGGTTTCCGAGGAACTAAGGTAATAACTCATCGGTGTGATAAATTGTAGACAAGAAAGTTGAGTAGAGGCGTAGCACCAGGACTGTTGGTTAGCGATCCAGTTGTAATGCAATATTAAGTAGGCTTACTAGGACCTGCCTCTTATACACATCTAGATGTGTATAAGAGACAGTGCAAACAGCTAGGCCACTATGCTAGTGAATACCCAAGCCCCTGCGTAGTCAAGGCACCAACTTCGGAAAACTAGAATCACCCAGTAACAGGAGCCATGTTCTGGGTGAAAATGTTAAAGATAAGGGATCAGGAGTGCCAAGTGATTATACAAGTAAACTGATTGGATCGTGTCCTATTGTAAATATAACCATGTTCAACAAAGAAGTGAAGGCGATTATTGACACAGAATCTCAGGTTACTACTATATCTGAGGATTATTTTCTTGAACATTTCGTGTTTTTCAAGATAAATAGATATATGCAGAGACGATGAATAAGAAATGCAGCCATCGATGGTTGATTTTAAAGAACACAAAATTGTATTTGCCTCTGCATCAGTTCTAAGCGTGTAAGTATATTTACATGCTGAGGAACTTTGCAGTTCATAAATGTTGTGTTCCTAAAGTCGAATGATTCATTAGGCCAAATTCATGGAATGATATATTAGAAAGAATGTTTAAAAGCATACGGTATATCAGATTAATATCTCTTGCACAGGTGAACAATGCACAAAAGGCAGGTGCAATTGGAGTGATACTTTACAGCGATCCTGATAACTACTCGCCTGGCGATACCCTAGGTGGATATCCCAACTCATGGTGGCTACCACGGACAGGAGCTCAGCGAGGAAACGTGTGGGTCAGCGATGCGAAGGGAGATCCTTTGACACCTGGTTTTCCTGCTAATGGTGAGTGAGAGAAACTTTGGTGGTGTATCTAGTGATAATCAGGTGCTACACATATTCCATATTATGGAGATTCAATGGCGGATTCAAGGGGCAGGGCCGACACGGCTCTTTACCCCAACTCTAAATTTGTCAAAAAATACTATGAAAAAATTTAGAAATCTGGTCTCAAAAAATCAAGTTTAGGACTGTGAGTGCCATTTCCGGCCATCCCATGTCATAATCATTTTTCTTACATCAAAAATGTTCTTACCTCAGCCCCAACCGTGTTGGGGCTATGGTGGATCTAGACTCCCCAATTTGTGAAACTCCCAGTCTGGGATCCGCCCCTAGAGATGCGGAAAAGGTATAGGTATCCTTATTCCGTTTCCCTAATCAAAGAGAGGTTATATATAATAAGTATTTGTATCGTGCCTTGATGATATTAGGGTTTTAAAAAAATACAAAAACCATTATGATACATTAACAAATATAATGTTATGTATTTCACTCTTATAGATTATGCGTATCGCCAAACGGAAGAGCACGCAGGATTGCCGCGAATCCCGGTTCATTGTATATGTGCAGACGATGCAGAAAGGATACTGAGGTTTGTATTAAGACGAAAACAGTACAATGGGGAAGGGGTAAATTGAGCCTCTCGAATTTACAAAGTGGCTAACGATGCTCTATGGGTAAAATAACCTAATGAAATGGTGTAGGCCAATATAAATACTAATTTGCAGTTCATGAATTAGATTTAATATCCAAAATTGCTCCATTGATAAATTCCTCCTGTTGTGACTTGTTAATATCCTTTGTCAGTGGTGAAGTGTTTAAGATGTTTGCTTTTGGATTGGGTTTATTCGGTGTAAACACCAAGAACAGCCCACGAAAGGCTAGAAGACTTATTGCCAGTGGGGTCCTTCTGGTGGTGATTGGGCAATACACCGGGAGACAATCCCCTACTTTTTTCCGAAGTGTACTGCGTTCCTTAACGTGCACATGGGCCATAAACGCACATGTGACCAACGGCTTAAGTAAACGTCTCATCCGAAAGACGGTGCGCTATTGTAACTTGTATTTCAGCCCTCCAACTGAAACACAAGGAGAGGCAGCGATGGGAATTGAACCGACTGAGCTCAGCTGCTTCCTTATCTGTCTTCAGTATTTGCAAAATATGTAAAAATTGTTCCCAAAACCAAAATTACCTCTTTAAGCCTCATAAAGTAAGTTATTAGATCATCAAAATACCAAGAATTAGCTAATGCAAGATATACTATACTAATAGAAGGCATCAAACCAACAGTTCCAAGTGTCAGCTTCATTCGATACTGGAGATCTTCCACCGTTAAAAATGTTAGAAAGAAGCACAACATTTTGTCAAACCTTGGCGCGTTGTTTTTTCTCTCAGACAATGTTCTCTTTAAAAAAAAAAATGCTCTGTGTTTCATTTGTACACAAAATTCTATAAGTGCTACTTTTTTTCTATGTATATAGTTTACTCAGATTACATTGACATTGTATTCATCATTACAATGGCGTAACGCCTATGCGCTCTCGTTCGGCATCCCTCATGGCTTCTGACCCTTAAGCCGGGCACTCACATTTGTGAAAGTCCCTCCCTAGGCCCGTCTATTTCTAATTCCTTGATACGATACCATTAGTTATTTTGTAAAAACACAAAAATACAATGACAAACATGATTGAAAAAGGAGCACATCTAAGATCCCACAATTGTATTGACGACTGGGAACCAAAAAGGGCCCCCAGTTAAAAAAAAACAAAAAAAACACAGTGCCCCCTGTCCCAGCGTTACACTGATGGATTTTTTTGTTGTTTTTTCCTCTTTTTAAAATAGAGAAATGGGTGGAGATGACGTGCCTGACAGCTGGATAGGTGGACTCAACATCTCATACAAGTTCGGCCCAACGTTTAAAAATCCAAATAGGTATTGCTATTTGTGAGACCGAATATTAAAGTTGTTCTCTCACGAGCTTCCCTTACTACCACGTGTAACAATGACTGACTGACTAAGTGAATGATTGATTGATTGACTTTTTCACTCAAGTCTCGTCAAGTGACTTAATTTTAATGTTAAAGTACGAATAGACCTACCAAAAACATACACAAAACAAAATAACTGAATCAAACAGTCTACAAAATATTAAAATTAAAAGAAAAACAATCACAATTTAACATGGGCCTACACTGACTATCCAACCATTTTGTTCATAAAGAATTTCTTTTTGGCTTACTTGTTATTTAAATGTACTGTATTCTCATTGTGAGAGGACGACTAAGAATATTTTGAACGGAAAATCAAGGTCAAGGTCAACCATGATTTATCGTTTTTGTTTTGTTTTTTACTTTAATCCATCTTGTAATATCCTCCATGTTTCATGCTTAAACACAATTGACTTCGGAATTTAACTGTTAAACTTTATTCTACACAGAACAGTAAAATTAGAGGTCACTTCTATTAAAGAGAACCGACCTGTGTACAATGTCATCGGAATGATCAAAGGCAAAGTTGAACCAGGTAAGTAGAGTTCATATTTTTTTGCACATATTCTATATTTTAAAATATGTTCAAAGTTCAAAAGTTCAAAGTAACATTTATTGGCCAATCAAAAACAACTTACAATAAAATGGAAAATAAGAAAAACACAATAGTAACAGGATGATAGACATAACAGGATGATAGACAAGAGACTACATAAAGGCCAAAAGGCCTGTCATTGTAGCCCCTTTCGATCCAATACCCTTAACCAACCCTCTAAATTGATATCTGGATACGATAATGATAAGCGAGTGAATATATATTATATGCCGTTGGGCTAAAAAAATTCTCTTTCTCTCTCCTGATCCCTGATGACAGTCTCGGAGTACAACTTGGCTAATAATTATGTGATCTTCTATGATTAGATCGTTACATTCTATTGGGCAATCACCGTGACGCTTGGACATTTGGAGCAATAGACCCATCAAGCGGCACTTCAGCTTTGTTAGAAATGACGAGAGCTTTTGGAAGATTACACAAAGATCATGGTATGCCTAAAAAAGACACACAAAGTAATGCGATATGTAATTTAAGATTGTTACTTACACCGTCAAAGGAAATTGCCGTATATTAGACTTTCGGATCTAAACATGTTTAGTATTAATTCAATAGAATTGAATAACTCATTTTAGATTATCATTTCTGATGATGACATAATTAATGTCGAAATATTGAATCCCGACACGACATCTTGATACTTGTAGTAAGTATTATACTATCTCATTTTAGATTGGAGTCCAAGACGAACTATCCTCTTTTGTAGTTGGGCTGCAGAGGAGCCTGGATTGGCAGGTTCTACGGAATTTCTTGAGGTAAATAATTATATTAATAACCATAAAATCTAAAATGATTTGTTCTAATTAAGGCTTGGTGTTTTAAAAAATAAAACCAAAATAATTGGCCGTTTTTTGTTTGAAAAACCGTTGTCAAAGAGCGGTATAGCTCAGTTGAAGAGCATTGAATATTCCACTGGTTCGATTCGGACCGCATATCAGTTTATATTTTCTTCAGAATCAAATGTATTTGTCCTCACGAAAATTATATTAATCGTTCAAAGCCCAATACATATAATAAAATTAAGTTGTGACATACATACATACATACATACACACATACACCCATATATACATACATACACACATACATACATAGGCCTACATACATACACACACATACATACATACATACACGCATATATATATATATATATATATATATATATATATATACATGTACATATAAGATACTATAACTTACTTATATACATAATAGATTACAGAGCATACGTTTAAAGGTAATGATAATTTACTTAGTAATTTAACTTAAGGATAGAATATGGTATAAAAGAGTTAAAGAATCGTGATGTTCTACATATAGGCCGAGATGTTCTTAGACGACGTCCAGATCTTAAATATTGGTTTCCGGAATGGAGTGGGTGATTGACGTGCCTTCGATAATCGAATGCGCTTTATTTACAATTTTCAGTTTGCATTCGTTATTGATTGTGACCGTTCCATGAAACAATCTACATGCTTTATTAATTGCTTGCTCCAATTACTTTGAAAAACAAAACACAAAAATGCTGACAAATAATAATAGGCTATGACAACTTAACACACCACACGCGCATTATAGTAGATGTGGTGTTAAAATGCTAATGTGGCCAAAACAAAGCTGAACAAATAGAATAGGCCACAATTTATCTCTACCTCTTTGCATATTTCAATTAGTTATTAACTAAAAATTAAAAGGAAAAATATATTTTACTCTCTTGATATTTGTGTAGGCCTATTACATTTCTTATAGTTTAAAATATTTGCTTGCAGAAAATTGAAAGTACGTATTTCGTTTTTTGTTTTGTTCTTGTCTTTTGTTTTTGTTAAATAATCAATTAAAACGTTAGAGGTTTCCTTCATTTTTTTTTTCTGGTGACAGTTTTTTAATAAAGAAAAAAATTCTCTGCTATTGCTTCATTTAAGCAGAACGCTCCAGTGGAGTTCATACTTGAAAACAAATACTTACATTACTTTAAAGTAAGCATTTTCATTTTTCAAATCCGCCATAATAATCAACTTAATATCTTTAAAAATGTCTAGGATTTCCAGAGAGTACTGGCTGAAAGAACGGTTGTCTATTTCAACGTTGATTCTGCAGTGACCGGCAACTACACATTTCAAGGAAAGTCCACGCCATCTTTACGAAAAGCTATATTCGCTGCAACTAAGAAGGTACCTATTTCAAATATATATATACAATATAGCCTGTCACTTCAATCTACCTAACCATAGTATTAATGACATAAGATTTATTTTGATCGCTAATAACTTTTCATCTCTCACACAGACGCAAAGAAGAATTGAAATGGATTCATAGAACTAATTCTAATATCAACGGTTTAAATAAAGACTTAGATTACTTATCAGACTATTCATTTATGTATGCTTAATTTTCCTCTTGGTTCCCAGGCCCTTATCCGGCTTTTATCTACATTGTATATTCCATATTAAGTATCTTTATATGCCGCCTTTAATTAGGTTCTATTATTATTTTAATTTGTAACCAATACCTTTTCCTTATACTTGCTTTACTTTGTACTTTTTGTCAGTTGTCCTCACACTGAGGAAGAACACAGGAGTGTTTGAAATATTTGTGATTTAATATATTGCTTCCCGGTCACCAAATGATTCAGTTGATCCATGTTGGCAACTTGAACGATATTGTTGGCCTACTGTACACCTTCAAAATACGCGATTTTACACCGAAACAATCGAATTTTCAAAATCCCGGGAAAATGAAAGCGAGAAATCAATATTGCACCATAATAGGCCTATAAATATAGTAAAGTAAACATTATTTTTAAATACTTTTTTGGTTTGTCTTCAAGGTTCCATCTCCCGATTCCGGATTTACATCAACATACGAACACTGGAAAGAAAAAGATGCGAGTTCGAGTGACAACAGCATACCATAGTGAGCCCATAATATTTTATCAATGTCAATGACATTTCGCGTCGTCGTTGTTTTTTGTCTGAAGGGAAATTTATTCAGTTTTGAATTTGTGAATGAATTCAATCAAATATTTACTTTAACATGTTGGAGTGGATTATGTGGTAAATAATTAAAATACTGTTCTTTCATTACCATTTTTTTTTTCTTTTTTTCTTCAGTTTAAGGAATCTAGGGTCTGGTAGTGATTATAAACCCTATACGTATCGTTTAGGGATTCCTGCTGCTGATGTTCGCTGGCGATATCCAACAGTAAGTTACATCTTGTTTTCCCCACAAACATTTCATCGCATAAATACACGTCAGTTTCTTTCTTTCATATTACAAATTAATGTAGTGTATATATTGAACTCAAACATGCTAATTTATTAAATAATTCATCATTCACATCCAGAATCTGGGCCTCTCGTCACATCCCGTGTATCACTCCGCCTATTCGACTTTCTATTACGTAAAGACGTTCCTCGACTGGGATTTTAAGCGACATCAGGCGGTGGCGCGTGTTTGGACGGAGCTCGGGCGCGATTTCGCCGACTCTACTATCTTGCCGTTCGACTGCGTGTATTATGCAGATAAGATACGAAGCTCTATAGAAACTGTTAAAGACCTTCATGAAAGTAATATGAACGCACATAACATCACGTTTGGTAAGTTTTGTATCATAATCAATATTTCGTAACACAGATACATTATAACTGTACTTGATGATCGGTAATTTATAAATTAATTAATACAGAGACCAAAACTAAATACTACTAAACAAAACATAATTAATTAGTTTCATAATCGATTGGTGGAACCATTCTTATCGACTTTAATTGGTTTAAATTAGCTTTTCTTGTTATATGACAGATACAATTATGTCGGCTATTGACAACTTGACAAACATTGCTACCAGCTTCGAAGCCAAAGTCCAAAAGATGGACACTTCAGAGTAAGTAGGCCTACCGTACTACTGTATACTAGGCCTATATAATATACTATATACTATATGCTATATACCATACTATATACTATATACAATACTATATTGTATACATGAAGTACAACAACCAATAATTATAAATGAAATCTAACTTGAGTTAGCCAAGAGGCTCTTTATTATTAAGTAGCGTAACAAGTAAAATTAAACCTGGTATTCCCAATGATTAATAACATTTAAAATACTGTAAATCGAACTTTTATCACCATATTTGAAATTTCAACATTTAAAACAGTTAATAATTATTTGTTTATTACAAATTAATTACATTTAACTATATCACATGTATGTTTATGATTAAATATGGTACCACAAATCTTATCTCAGAATTTGTATTTTTCAATTAAAGTTTACTTATGTCTTGTAAATCAACAAACAAATCAATCAATAATGTCATAAAATACAAATATTTTTTTTATTTACAGCGTACTTGAAGTTCGGAAGGTTAATGACCAATTTATGCTTTTCGAGAGGGCGTTTATCGATCCACTTGGCTTACCAGGTCGTAAATTTATGAGGTGATAATATGAAATAGTGTTTTAATTTATTTTAGTAATTTAAGTTCTCTTCAAATGTACAGCTAAATTTGTCCCTATAATTAATATTGAGGATGCATTAGTTTCTTCATCCTCATACGCCTGGTAAAAATAAAAACATCCTTTAAACTCTCCATCCTATGATTTGATGCGATCACAGACTAATATACGCAAGTGTGCGGTTGAAAACGTGCAACATTTCAAAGGTAGTCAATCAACAGTGTAATGTTCCAGTCCCTAAACTTTATCTTAATCAGTAAAAAAGCTGGAAAATCGATTTTGGCACCAATGGCGTTCCATATTACCTATTTGCTTGGCGTTTCATAGTATACTTTTTCTTGGATCTAATTCGCATCAAAAAAGTTTCTCGACATAAACTGACGCTAGTGGCGCTTTCCGGAATGTGCTAATACTAAGAAAAATCAATAAATTAGAGATTTAAGGCAAGTCTAATTGCAGTCGAGTTAAAATAATTTTATAAAATATATAATGGTTCACCATTGTTTAATACTCCAAGTGGAGATCCGCTTTTTATTTTTTTATTTTTATTCTCATATTATTAAATGTTTTATGCATTGTTTTATGAACATGGTTTTCGAAATAACGTTTATATTGTTGCTATTGTTGTTGCTGTTATTGTTGCTGTTGCTGTTGTTTTTGTTATAATTTGCCAATTAAAACCTATGAAAAAGGTAATTCATAATTTCTTAAAAACGGTTATTATGTATTGTTTATTTTTTCATGTCAGCATACAATTACATTATAACCTAAATTTAATATTTAACCTTTATACAGGCACGTAATCTTCTCTCCTACTTTACACGGTGGATCATCATTTCCTGGAATTGTTGATAGCATGTACCGCATAAATGAAGATCCCGACCAGGACCAGAGATGGGAAGCGGTTCGTGAGCACATGGCAGTGGTCGCTTTCATGATACAGTCTGCCGCTAGCACATTAAAAGACGTCACGGAATTTTAAAATTTGTTCGACAAATTGAGAAAATACCCAAGTAAATTAAGGCCAAATATGATACTTTTATACTGAGTTTTTCGATGCGATATTCTAAATTGCTTGGTAAATCTTCAACAACTTATCTCAATGTACACCTTTGAAACGCAGTTTAAGTTACTAATAGGCCTATAACGTAAATTAACATTAATTTGAACGTTTGAATTAAAACTAATATTGATTTTTAATTTTTTTTTTAATTTAAATTTCATTTGCGTGCATTTATCTAGTGGCCGTGAGTAGGCCTACTTAAAAGTAACATTCAAAAAAAGAGATTTCAAACGTTACCTCTTTTGATTGTGCTGTCGTTTGTCTCTGTTTTTGCATGTACGTGCAAAAGAGCCTTTGACTAAAGAGACGTGAGTCCCTTTTTCCTTTGTACACTCTCACACTTGAGAGAAAAAAATAATAATATTTTTTTTTACATTCCAGAAATGACTAACGGTAATTGGACTAACTTCTTTATTACTATTATTATTATTGTTATCCAATAAAAACAAGGACTATTAAACGTATTCCATCATTTTGAGGCAACAGGGACACAGAATACACAAGCACGTAACTACATACAAAAAAAATATACAAAAGTAACGAAATAGCAATGCCGCTAACGACAATTGTTTGAAGAAGCACACCAGGCTTAAATTGATCATCGCAGATAAAATACTCACATTTTTTTTCTCACACGTGCTAACAGAAATAATCAGACTCAAATCCCTTCCTTGAAACACCCATGCACATTTGTTATTCCTACCAAGCTAGCAAACTTACGTTATGATATCGTAATATTAACGTTACAGTTTGGTGTGCAATACAGGCCTTTTTTGTGGTACAATATACGTATTTTTCGTTGCAAGCGTTCTGCATTGTTGTGCTAACGTCAGTTAATAACGCAACCAAACTGCAACGTTTACAGAATGTTTCAATACGTTCTGTGTTTTCTGAGTAGACACACCTGTTTATGTTTCTCTTTGTTTTATTACCAGTTCTTTATATCCTGAATCATCATCGTATTCTCTTGTAAATTGAAGGTGAGTAAGTTCTCCAATCACAAGCTCCATTGTTGTATATACTTCCATCACGCCCATCACGTGACCCCCAAAAACCTAACAAAACGTTTACAAATTATTTTATTTATTTATTTAATTTTGTTGATTTTGGCAACAAAGTAAAAGGCTACAAATTAAATTTTTAACGATTCTAAACAAAAAACATTAAAAGAGATTACGAATGAACAAACCAACATTCTTCACAAGGTCAAGGATCAACAGAAGTGGAATAATCCACTCATTCACATGCACATGCACGCATGTTGAAGCGGGTAGAAGATGGAGAAGATGGGAGGATATAATAGATGAGATTGGTTGAAGATAGAAAAAAAAATAAGAACATGGTAGAAAAAAAAAGTTAGAGCAAGTTTTCCCTTTAAAGACAATCAATATGAATGATGATGGTGTCGTCATTTTACAACAATTGAATGATCTATATTGACCTAATTGAACCCCTTAGAGAATAAAAAGAAAATAGAGTGGTTTGAGAACGGAAACGTGATGGCGACGGGGGAGTAATAATGAAAATGGGAACGATGAAGATGACTTAAGGGGAAATCATAGAGGTATTATGAAATATAACTACGAGAGAAGTGTATGAAAAAGGAAGTATATTAGGCCTACAAAGCGAAGTTTCATTGACACGATCAAAGGGATTCAAGTAAGATCTATTACCTTTGCTTCCTCGTCTGATATTGAAGCATGTAAGTGGAATCCATCTCGAGAAAGAGTTCCAACCAATGAAACGACTTCATGGGGTTTATTGAATTCCATAACCTAAATAATCAATTGAAAATTATAATATTATGTTAGCTGGCCTCAAAATGCCAACGGAAAATTTTAATATATTTCAAATAATTACCGATCTGTAGGAGGACTAGTATAAACTGAGGTGAGAAAATGTTGTTTTCAAGATAATTATGACCGAAAAAGCAGTACTTACAGTCTTGGAATCAGCCAATCGAAGTTTGGTGAATTTAGTACTACCAACACAAGATACGATACAGGCCGCCTGCAATTGATTGCGGTCAAGGAAGGTTTTTAAACAGCTTATAACTTCTTCGCCTGGTTTTAATCTCAGAGCATGGCAAAAAAACTTTGAACCAGAAAGAAATACGATTAAAGACAAACATGAAGTTATGCCATTTTCAATCAAGAAAGAACATTACGGTACTTTATCTCTTAGCCATAATCTGTGAAATATATAGGCTACTTTCTGAAATATATATACTGTAAAATGTTAAAATAATTATTTTAAACGAAAATAATTAAAGGCGTATTACTAGAACCACATAGGCTGATCATTCTTATGGAGCTATAATTTCATGTCAAAGATAAATATTAGTCTTCGGTACTAACAACATTCGATGCAAACTAAAATACAAAATAATCACTGTTATTTCTTTATGGGCCTTTGCTAAATTTAGAAATAAAATTACGTTTAATAAAGAAATCATTATTTTGTTTCCAAACATTAGCATTAAACATGAATTCAATATGATAAAGAAAATAAATTAAAAGTGCAAACTATATGAAATTTGTTTCTAATGTTTGTACACATAAAGACGGTTAACATCCAATTAGTCTTCCAATCTTTACATTATATACCGGTATTCATATCTTCCGTCATAATAATTAATGGGAGATGAAAGTACCTTTTCTACATCCTGTCATCCCAGGCCTATCTATTAATAAGTGTTGATAATATACTACATGCCATAGCCCTTCCCCCACCCCAACACCCGCCAAAAAAACAAAAACAAAAACAAAAAAAATAATAATATATTAAATAATACAATTAAAAGCTACAATGATGCAGAAATTACTATCTTTATACTAAAACTTCGAAAACAGACCATTTGAAAATAATTTGAGTTTTGGTCTAATTGATCACTTCTTTTGACAAAAATATAAATACTGTATGAATGTTTTCTGACGTAATAAATAAGAGCTTGTTTCTCTTTGTCAGAAAAACATTACTGAAAGTGAATTATGGTAAAGTGGTAAAAACAATGCAACCAAGTGGATTATTTCATTTCGGAAAAACAAACAAAATTTATAAAATTAGGCCTATACAAAAAGAAGTAAACATGTCCATGGCTTCTCAGATTATCAGAACGTCTGACAAAGGGAAGTACATAGGCCTATAGTAAATTGCCTAATTCTGTGAGAAAAATTATCTACGACACTAGGCCAGGTATCGTACTCGCACGAATAAGCACCCCGTTTGTGAATAAGCGCCCCGTTTGGAAAAGCGCTCCCTATAGAAATGAATAAACATCAATATATTGATGTTAATTCATTTTTTAAAACAATATCATGTAATTTATTTATTTAATCTTTTTTAGCATTAGCCAATAATCCAATCAATCATGGGACTGTGTTAAGCATGATTTGATCTGCGGAGTGCATTCATATTTTATTACTATGTCAATTTGAAAATGAGAATATTTTCTCCTGCGGACAGATGAGAGCTTCCTGGACAGTATCTTTCCAAATTTCCTCTTCTTCCTATTAGACAGACATTTCGACCGGTTCGATATCAGTGGTAAACAGTTGTAATCTAAATTGTTCGCAACCATTCGCAAACTTCTTTTTCTTAGGCTCCCCTCCCCCCCCCCTCTAAATCCGCCACTGTTATTACCGCAATACTGTATTGCCAGAGCCTGTCTGAAATCACTGAGTCACAATATATTGATGTTAATTCATTTTTTAAAACAATATCATGTAATTTATTTATTTAATCTTTTTTAGCATTAGCCAATAATCCAATCAATCATGGACTGTGTTAAGCATGATTTGATCTGCGGAGTGCATTCATATTTTATTACTATGTCAATTTGAAAATGAGAATATTTTCTCCTGCGGACAGATGAGAGCTTCCTGGACAGTATCTTTCCAAATTTCCTCTTCTTCCTATTAGACAGACATTTCGACCGGTTCGATATCAGTGGTAAACAGTTGTAATCTAAATTGTTCGCAACCTCAGGTGATCAGCACTGAAACAACAACAAACAGGTGAGACACAGGCCTAGGCTACAGCACTGTGCATTTTCGTTTCCATTCCAAGGTAGTTTTTTCAACTTATAATTCGAGGCTTATTTCCTCCATTTCACTTATTTATTACATGGCGTTGTTTATTTACTCAAGGAAAGGTCTACAACTAGCCTAGCCAAGGCCTCTCTCTAATCCAGAAGACTTGGGTTTGACTCTTGAGTCACACATACCCGCACAGCCTGATGCAGTCAAGGAAGGCAGTAACTTGCTTGTCAAGGCCTAACGTATTATTTGCCTTCAAGTTAGCCTATGCTAGGCCTGTGTGTTAATAGAAAGAAGGTCTCTACTTATCTTGTATGGCACATAATTTATTACTTCTAAGCTATATTGTAATTATTTAAAGTTCTCGCAAACTGCTTACCATTTTAAATTAGTTGTAGAAAAGCCTGATTACAGCAGCAGACGATCGATCGGAGACCCCAAAATTAGAAGCATGAAACAAAGGACTGGATCTGCTCGTTCGCAGAGGATGTGTGTGGGCCCAATCAAGCGTAGCCTAGGCCTAGATCCAATTGTTCAAAAATGAATGAAACACACTATGCAAAAATATGTTGCTAGGCATAGGCCTATTATTAATGGTAATGGATGGTGATAAACTTATAAATATTAAAGCACATTATACAGAATCGTCTCTAGGCCTAGTCCTGCACTGAGAAAAACCCCAATTGAACATAAAAAAAAAGGGGGAAAAAAGAAGAAATAAAACAAAGCAAAAGAAAGGAATCAAGCTTAGAAATACTAAGAGAAATATAATTATATAATTTCCAGTAGGAAGTATTTGGCACAAACTAAAGGAAGTTGGTAGTCAGACATCAAATGTAAATTAAAATCATATCAAAAATATAAACCATTAAAAGATGGAAAAGATAGCTAAGTTAACCTTTGTACCAATGGGCATTCAAATATTACAATGTCACCCCAGGTATGTACAGTAGTTGGTGGGCAGGGCCAACCAGCCTTGAGGTTGACCCTTATTAACCCACTTTTCCATCCTTAAAATCCACTCGTATTATTTAGAGTTTACCAGTGTTATCACACACCCACCATAAAAATGCCTACCATCCAGCTTTAGATTTCTTCAGCTACAACCCTGAATACAACAAATATTGCACCATAAATATTAATATTCTTCAGTTACTTGAAATATTTTAAAATAATGAATTGTGAATGCAGTGCAAGGTAAGCCTGCCAACAAAATTAATTAAAAAGGCAGTTGGCTATTGCTAGAACCCTGGCCCTTAATTCATTTATTTGAAGGGTCAAATTATGTTTAGAGTTGATCTCATGGGCCTAAGATTATGTTATCCCCAAGTTGCTGCCAGCAACTTGTTATACTTTATGGACCTAAGGTGAAACTGAGTTGCGTGGCCAAAGCCCCTTTGCACTTTTGAAGTTTTTTGGGCAGTTATTGTACTACAGCACAATATCAGGACTAAATTCATTGGACCATAATAATATTTGTCCAAAAGAAGGATTAGACACTTCATTTTCACTATTTCTTGGTTATTGATGATATTTTATTTCTTACTGTAAAATCATCACAAACAAAAAATGGTGGTGCCAAGAGTTCTCCTTATAGAGGGAGCTCTCTCTGATGGGGTGGGGGGTCCTTGCAAAATTGGGCTGTTTTTAATGGATTTCTGAAACCCATAATTAGTGAATTTATATTTTTTTCAAAGTAAATTTTCTTCTATATTGACCTTGGCTGTATGTTTCCTTGTCGAGGAGGACCTCCGCGTTTTGGCCTATGCCAAATATAGTTACCTGCTGTCGGGCGTCTATACGACCAGGAAGGTCTAACACTTCCCGAGCCAAAAATTAAGTCGTAGCAAAAATATCACACATTTGGTATTTTCGGTGTAATTTCACCCATCCTACTGTATATCCACCAAAAAATACCATGGCTTTAAAGCCTATACACTTCACCTATAAAATCACGGTGTCTACTCATATTATAAACAAGCCTATGATAAAGTCTCAATTTTATCTGCTATTGTCAATATTTATCTGAACTAAGACTACCAATCTTTTGACATTTGTCAATTGGTTAGTACTGTACTGGGGGGGGGGGGGGGGGGGGGGGGTCACCCTAAGTACTTCATATTGGCCAAGTGTTGTGTTTTGGATTTCAATTATGAAAAAAATTTATTGAATGATTATTACTTTTAGTTTTTTTTTTTTAATCATTTCATTTTTTCTCGCTGGCCAGAATAATTTGTTTTGCAGGCTAAATTTAGCCCACGGGTTGCCTATTAAGAACTAGGAGCTGAGAAGGTTGGTTGATATTCTGGGGCACTCTTAAATAAATTATAGCGTGATACTTTTATCAGTAAAGTCTCTTCGTAAGGCTTAGGCGTGAAGTTATCGCTTTAGTTAATGCTGTAGGCGTTAGTGAGAAAAAGACCTGCTGTCACATGAATCGAACCCAGAACACTATGATCATGCTTGGTGTCCATGCAATCACTACAGTCGCTACAGCATTATCACTGCAATCCTTGCGCTGAGTAGTTGTCCCTGACATAATCGAGAACGCTCCCTGATTCAACCGACCAATCAGCATCGCGAAAAGAGTTGGCGATAGCGTGTAGCGATTTTTATGGATAACCAGGCTTACCACTTCAACTCCACTTCAAAATTGTGATTGGATGTTCTTGTCCTAATTTAAAGCCTATTCGTAGTTAGAAATGGGCCAGTATGCCCGCATCAATGTCAGTTGACATAACACAGTGCACGAAACATAAGTTTATGTGGGTCGACCTTGAATATGGGTATGCATAGTTCCAGCGGTGGATCCAGAGATGTCCGAAAGGTTTTCTAGACGCCCAAAAATAACCTCTGAGGCGTTTTGGGGCGATCAATTTTTCTTTTTTCTTTTTTTTTTTGTAACTTTCCAAAAGGGTGGTTCTGGGCTGGCCCTCCCCACCCCTAAATCCACCCCTTAGTTCTAACAATAAATTTAATTATCCATACACACAATAGCTCACTTATTTTTATACCTCCCTGGTGAAATAATTAATTTTTCGTTTTTCTTTAAAATTCCTTAAATTAATTACCAGCCAATTTAATAAGGTCTATAATATGCAGAAGCATACAGCTATGGTTATTTTTTAACAGGGCATTAATAGATGGGTTAATTTTTTTCTCATTCAAATTTCATATTTAAAAACTTGTTTCTAAGTACATACAGTATTAAAGAATACCAGCAATAGCCAGTCAAGGTTGACGCCGAGGTCAAAGTTAAATCAATATAGTTTGCCATGCAATAGCAAATAACGAATTCAAGTGAGCCCACTGTTAGTATTACTGTACTGGCAGATCTGTTGTTTGTTTTCTCAGTTTAAAAGTGTCTTCTGTCGCGGCATCATACTAAGCATGGCGATAACAAGGTGTGTTATGCTCATCATGATCTTGAGTGTACTGGAGTGTTGTAAGGGAATTCAAGTCCAGCCGGAACAAATACACTTGTCAGCTACAGGTTTGTTTCTTGTTGAAATAAAGTAAAAAAATTAATTTAATATTATTATTGCCATAATGTTTATTTGTTATTTATTGATTATATTAATGCTTATAGAAATGCTTTTAATAATGTTATTGATTTATTTATTGTTATAAATACGGTATTTAGTTACCATAATATTTAGTTATTGTAATTACCTATCATTATCAAACTATTGGTTTATATATTGTATGTGTGTTTGAATATGTAGGTGTGTGTGTTGTATAGAGTACTTTAAAGCATGTATAATAAAAATTAAATAGTAATTGCCATATTTTTTTATTGTTGTTCTTGATTAATACCATATTTATTGTTATAAATATATTGACCATAATATTTAGTTATTGTAATTACTTATTATTAATATTATCAAAATATTGGTCTACATAGTGTGTTTGAATATATTGTATAGTAATTGTATATATAATATATAATTAAATATTAATTGCCATATGTTTTTATGTGAAATTCATCAGAAATTCCTGATATTGTTATTTATTGTTATAAATACCATAATATTTATTTAACTGTAATTACCATTTACTGTATTATTATCTTGTAAAAATATTGGTCTGTGTATATAATAATGTATGTATACATGTATTTATACTGTCTCTTATACACATCTAGATGTGTATAAGAGACAGACACTAAGAGACTTACACCGATTGTTGACACAGTTGTAATCCGCATTTGGGTCAAATTTAATTTAGCTTTGGAACTTAG